AGGTAGATTGAATCCCATATAAAAAAAACCCTCTCAACATTTACTTTTCTATTCACAAAATTTAAATTTAAGATTTTAACTTAAGAAAAAATCAAATTCTTCTCATTATGATCAACAACTATTGGATTTAAACCTTTTTATTTTTGAGGACTTTCTTAACCAAAAAAAAAAATTACTTCATATTTTTTTTTAACAATTTTGATATTATTTACAGATATATATAAGAGATATTTATAGATATATATGAGGAAAAAAAAAATTCCATAGGATTCGAACAAAATCAGCAACGAAGATAAACAATCCTAACCAGGATCCATATTAAATGCGATTCTTAAACAAATTTTCCATCTCCACTATAGTCCCGTCCTTCGAGGCTTGTAAACTCTACAGAATACACCATAACATGACTACTTAATGCACAATTCTCAATGCGTGCCAAACCCTCCGTTAAGTTCCGACAGCAAATTGTGGCAAATGTGAAAGCAAGATAAAATGGGGGAACATCTCATTCAGAAGCTTTCACTCCACCCAACATCACTCCATTTATTTCCTGCAGGATGCTTCATAGTCATAGATTCAATAAAAACAGCAAATTTTTACACACTTGAGGGAAACTAATTTCATTGAAAAGATTCTCTGGCGAACGGGATGAGGCCCAATGGTTCACTCCAATCCTTAAGGTTTGAGAGAGGCGGTAATCAAGATTTCGAATTCTACCACCGTCATAAACTCCATCAAAATACGATTTAATGGCTGCGTGCCTCATTTGAGGAGGTGACATGTTCACCAATCTAAAAATCCCAGTTGCTAACAACTAACTCATACTAACTTCTTAACTATTATCCTTGTCAAAAAAATAAAATAATAATTTCATTAAAAAGATTTTGAACCTGTCTAGAGTCTCTCTCTCTCTCTCTCTCTATATATATATATATATATACACAACAAAAAGTGGAATTCCTTTTGCAGATCATTCATCTAAGTTGATGGGGTTTCAGGCTATAC